TTATTACGAATTGAGGCCTTTGCACGTCCTGAAAATTCACAACGAACGAATATTAGTGCACCCTTGAGGCTTATCACGAGTAGTGGCAAAACGCGGATAACCATTAAGAAATCTACAGTTGGTCAGTCTTCTTTTTAGTGTCTCTTCCATTTGATTTCTGATATGATCCATAAAGCCTGCGGGCAACTCTGCAGTTGAACTAGCGTCCAAATTAATAACTGATTTCTTATCTTTGTTCTCATTTGTGTTTTAGAGCTTTCTTTAAAATTTTAGTAGGCACTCTCACGGTGCTAAAATTAATAATATTGATTTTTTGCTTCGTTATTTGTAAGATTTTTTCATTATCTGTCGCGAAAAACAACACCAGCTAGAAAGAGGAACTTTTTATTGAGCATGACTTACAAATTTTAGCGGAACCATATGCTAGGGAATCATACATTTATTTTGTTGCGAATCTTCAGTAGAAGGATTTTGAGTATATCTCTGAATGAGCTGAAATACCTGACCTCTTAAATTTAATTGTTAGGTCAGCAGGTTTCCAATGAATAAATAAGGTGAAAAAGGCTTTTTACGTGTGAGATTGCTTTTTTTTTAGTTTCTGTCTAGTTCTCTTGTACAGAATGATTGTTTTCTTGATTTGTTGGTTCTATGGTTATCACTAAGTAATTTCTATTTTAGACGGTACTGTCCTTGGTGGTCGTCTTCAAACCATATTAGATGACATATTATGGGTAGCTACTCTTCCGCAAGTGCGCTCTGCGATTGCATTTTATAGTCATATAATGAATCTTGTAAAAGCGGCTCCTAAGAAAGCGAAGACTGGCATATCTGTAAGGCATTTTTTCTGCTTTCTTATCTGGATATATTTGATGGAACAGATTCTTTTTATAGGGTGGGGATCAGTTATTTTTTTTGTTTCTAGCAGTCTTTACCGAAACCGTCGTTGAGTAACATGCTTTCCGCGACTACCAGCATGGCTTCGAAAGCGTTTAGGAATTTTGATTTTGAGCAAACTTCTCTACACCTTTATGTTGGTAAAATTGATATGCACTTGTGCGATGATACAAACGCATCTTCTGGTGAGCTTTAACCATTTCATTCCATTTAACTATGATTTCTGCATTTGACTTTCTTTTATTTGCTCTTTCATTTGCAGAATTTCCTCCTGACTTTGATATAGAGAATGGTGCATTACAAGTAACTTTTATAAGATTGTCTATTGACTTCTATCCTTCAAATATTGCGGGTTCAGAACGTTCAAGTTGGGTCCGCTACACAGCCCCCAACCAATGTTCAACATGGAATCAGAAAATTTTGCAAGCTCATTTTGTAAAGTTGTGTTCTCGTTTAGGTGAGTATTTTTTAGGGATTCTCTATTCTATTCTGTTTTGCTTGATTTTTATTTTATTTATTTATTTATTTTTTTTTTTTTTT